GAGACTCTCCCACTTATTATGTAACCTCCCGCCAGGAGAATTCCCACACACGTGCACTCAGATTTCATTTGCTTAGCCATTTGCCTCATCCTGCTATATGTAGGGATGTTTCCGCCCCATGGTCATTCCTAACAATAATCTTGTGGACATGGTAACAGACTGGTAGTCTAATAAAGCATAACGCTTCCCTGGAAACGTGTGTCGAGATTTACTTGCTGTTGAACCTGACAGTGAGGAATAGCCACAGAATTCCTAGACCTAGAGAGGCACATGGGGGTGAGGGAGAGGAAACATCCTCTGAGGAAAATCCTAGTCAGGAGGTAAAAATTATGATGGAAAAAGAAAGGAAGAGATTGGATTTATACCCTGCTCTTCACTCAGAGTTTCAGGGTGGCTTACAATCTCCTTCCCTTCCTCTCCCCACAATAGACACTCTGTGCGGTAGGTGGGGCTGAGAGAGCTCGTTCGAGAACTGCTCTTCAGAGAACAACTCTGAGAGAATTGTGGCTTGCCCACGGTCACCCAGCTGGCTTCATGTGGAGGAGCAGGGCATCAAACCTGGTTCTCCATATTAGAGTCTGCCACTCTTAAGTACTACACCACACTGGGGAAAGATTTAGTGATTATAAAAGTGGGACAGAATTTAGAATTCCCAGTCCAGGCACTGGGTTGTTATTATTATTATTATTGTGTTGGTGGGACATCTATTAGCCCCTTGTAAAGACTACTTTGCTATATGGCAAAACTTTTTAACTTCAGCAAAATCAATCCCAGTCGTCCCAGTACTTCTCATCCAGCACTACTACAAAAACCCTGATTTTCTTACTAAAGAATTGCTGTGATATGAAGCGTTGTGAATTAGAACCCACTACATCAGACATAAGAAGTGTATCCTATATGGGTTGACATATGTGTAAATATAAAACTGCAAAATTAGACCCACACCTATAGAAAGTGATGTTGAGAGGCTTAGGCTGTGCAAATTGAATAGACGTAGAGGGCATTTTTGGCAGGGACAGCTTATCTGGAAAGAGGGAGGAAAACTGCTCCTGTTTCTTTTACACAATTATGATGTCTTCTATGGATATGAGAGGCCTGCTCTGATCGCTGTGCTCATAATATTTAACAATGGTTTGAATACTTGTCAAACTCACTTTACATTTCATTGCTCCCTTGCCATAGAAGTTGGGAGGGGGAGTAGGAGAGTGTGAATTCTAAATGCTTTCACTTTCAGATGCTTTGAAGTAGATTGTTGTTTATCGGGCCTGGGAACATCCACTGGCCTTGATTCTCAGCTTACACAGCCTGGCTTTTATCTGTTTGTTGGGAGGGGGAGTAGGAGAGTGTGAATTCAAAATGCTTTCACTTTCAGATGCTTTGGAGTAGATCCACTGGCCTTGAATCTCAGCTTACACAGCCTGGCTTTTGTCTGCTTGTTGGGGGGACAGTCACACAGAGCCATTGACTTAGGTGGGTGGAATACGTGGGGGTGATTGGCTCATAACCTTTTAGGGTCCCTGTTTGAACCTTGTATATCTGTTGCTTTCGCACCTTTATCTTCAGTTCTAACACAGCCAACGTACAGGCTGGATCCTATCAATGTCCCAATAAACTTATTCTTCTGAGTGAATGTTGTTGGGAACTGATTTCTGACAATACTTGCTAATCATTTCTTCCACCTGCCAAGAATACTTGATGAAGCAACAGCAATAGCTATCATCCTTTATTTTTAGTGAACTGTTGTCAGTTAACACTGCCATGTTGCTGGAATGTGTGGAGAGGAAACCACCTTAGTCTGCCTGCTACATACAGAGTTTCACTGTCTGGGTATTATCTACTATCCTGACCTTGGGATGTTCCAGCTGCTGTCAGCTTTAGCTGGGAACCAACGACTTTTGCTTTTTGCCCACTCTCTTTCCCCGCGCGCGCGAACTTTGCTTATTGGCTTCAGCTTGTAAGGGTGTGTGTTTGATCCTAGTATAATTCAGGGTGCCATACTGTTCCTAGGCACAGTACACATGTCATAGTCCTGGTGTGCCAATAAACAGAACTTCACTGTGTTGTGTGACCTGACTATCGAACCCTGACAACTGTACACAAAATCAGATTTATAATAAATACCATACCCAGTCTTTCTCCCCAATGGGGACCCAAAGCTGCTTTGTTCTCTTATCCTCCATTTTATCCTCACAACAACCTTGTTACATAGTTCTGGCTGAGGGTGTTATCACCCAGCAACCTTGCAAAGGTATGTTCATTTTTTGGATTACCTTGCACTGGAATAATAAAGTGCAAATATGTTCCCTTTTGTTGACTGGGGACATGGATACTAATTTATTGAGGATTCTAAAGAATCATTATATTGATGCATGTAACACTGGAAACTTTTAAAAAGTTTGGGGTATTTTATTGTTGTTAATAATTAATTTCAGCATTTCATATTTTAAGACACCTCCCCATATACATGCAAATGTCTAAGATATATACAGATGAAAAAGATTTCAAAACTGCTATAATGACTCTCATTAAATAGTTATGGTTTAGATAGTAAGAACCAGGAATGGGAAATAGACGTGTATTTGGTATCATTAACACATTGGGGAATTTCAGACAGACGATATAATCCAGAAGAGGAACGGTTCCCAAATGGTTTCTGGTCTGTCATTTCAGACAGAACCGTTTTAGAACCGGTTCCCTACTGGAATATATTTGTAATTTCACACACAAATGCTTCTGTCCCGTTTAGGAAATGGGGCTGAAGCGTTTTACCTGTCAACTGCTTCCAAGTAGTCTTCAGTTTCCTCTCCCGGTTCTGATGCACTTTTTCCTGCCGTTTTTCACCCGTGTGGGCGATCTCTGGCTTTTTTTTAACATTCGCTTTATAGCGCTATAACGGTATACCGATGTAACGCAACAGCATTATATCAACCCCATTGGAATGCCTGGAGTGTTGTGTTATAGCACTATAGCACTATAGCGCTCTAAAGGCAGAGATCGCCCGCGCAGGTGAAAAACGGTGGGGGAAAGCAAGAAAAAGCAGTGCAGTCTGAAATGGCAAACCGCTTCAGATCCAGCTCTTTACCAGAAGGGGAAAGCCGTGTGTGAAATGGCAGCCCTATACCGGTTTACTCCATGATGGATCAAAAACGGCTTCAAAACGGGTTAAAAAAGGTAATGTGAAATTCCTCACTGTTATTTAATGTCCACAAAGATGAACCATTCCCTCCTGGCGACCTGGTACGTGTGGTATGAAATAACTGCATCTGGATCGAGGCGGTATGGCAGCACTGTTGTTATTAGATCAGTCGGCCATGTTTGACACAGTCGACCACCAGTTGCTGAGCCACTGCCTCGCTGACGTGGGAATACAGGGGCTCGCTCTTCAATGGCTTGCCTCTTTTCTCCAAGGTTGGGGACAGAGGGTGGCGATAGGGGAACAGCAGTCCCAGAAGCACCCACTTGAATGTGGTGTGCCTCAGGGGGCAGTGCTTTCCCCGATGTTGTTTAACATCTATATGCGCCCCCTCGCCCAGATTGCCAGGAGGTTTGGGCTGGGTTGCCATCAATATGCTGATGACACCCAACTCTATCTGATGTTGGGTGGCCAGTCGGGCTCCAATAGAAGAGCTGAACCGGGCACTACAGGCCGTGGCTGGATGGCTCAGGCTGAGCAAGCTGAAACGAAACCCAGCGAAGATGGAGGTCCTGTGCCTGAGTTGGAGCGGACCGGGGTTGGGGCTCCCTCTCCCGACCTTCGATGGGGCGCCATTGGTCCCAGCGTCGGAGGTTAGGAGTTTGGGAGTGCTCCTGGATCCCTCCTTAACTATGGAGGCCCAGGTGGCAGCCACTGCCGGATCGGCATTTTATCATCTTAGGCTGATTCGGCAGTTGATTCCCTTCCTCAGCCGCGATGACCTGGCTACAGTGATCCATGCGACCGTCACCTCGAGGTTAGACTACTGTAATGCTCTCTACATGGGGCTGCCTTTGGTGCAGATCCGGAAGCTGCAGCTAGTGCAGAATGCGGCGGTCAGGCTGATGATGAGTCTGATGATGAGTGGGAGCACATCCAGCCTGGGCTGAAAGTGCTGCACTGGCTGCCCATAGCACACCGAATCCGTTTCAAAGTGCTGGTACTTACCTTTAAAGCCCTATATGGCCAGGGTTCAACTTACCTGAGGGACCACCTTTACCCACATATACCCCCAAAAGCACTTCGGTCCGTGGCACAATATCGCCTGGTGGTTCCAGACCCCCGGGAGGCAAGGCTCACCGCGACTAGGGCCAGGTCCTTTTCGGTGGTGGCCCCTACCTGGTGGAACGAGCTCCTGGAGGAGATCAGGGCCTTGTGGAACCTTATGCTGTTCCGCTGGGCCTGCAAGATGGAGCTCTTCCACTAGGCTTTCACATAGGGGCCACCAGTACCACTACCATCACCACCACCAATGATGTGGACAACATCGGGGTTAAGGATGGCCCAGGAAGTTCTGCTACAATTTTGCGTGACTGATATCACCGGACTTACTTGCTTGGGATCAGCTATAGGACAACATCATCCCCAGAGAACTGTCTGTTTACCATCACTGCATATACTCGGGGACCATCCTGCTTTCAATTGAGTATCATTGTTGTTTGTCATTAATTGTTATTAATGTTTTTATTGCTTTTATCCTGTTTTATATGGGATTTGCCCCTTATAAGCCTCCCTGAGCCCGTTTCACAGGGAGGGCAGGGTAAAAATCCCAATTTAAAATAAATAAATAAATAAATAACTGCAGGTTTCAGAACCAGACATCTCAGCAGCATGTTAGTATGTAATAACTGGGGCTGATAATTTATAGTGTCAGAGTACCAAAAATCACAAGATCAGTTGAATATACTCCCACCAGAATAATTTTTAGTGACACTAGCCCCTCATTTGTATGAAGAGATCTAAAAATATATCGTTTCAAACCTAACACTTTTGCAAAAGCAAAAAAAAATATTATTCTGTTCCTTACATTTGACAGTGCTTCTGTCCCCACTGGCTGTCCTCTGGGAGAGCAAGGGTCAGAAGATGTTTTTATTTGGATTCTGCCCATTTCTGTTTCTGGTGATACGTTTTCCTCTTCTTCTGACCATTTAGCTAACTGCCCATCTCCAGGCCTATCAAGAAGCTGTGGCAAGGGATCTTCTTCAATTGATATTATCCTTTGGAAATGCTTTTTTTTAGTTAGTTGTGCATCATTAGTAGAGTCAGAATCTAATGAAATATGCCCATTCAAGCCAAAGGAATCTTTTCTTCTTGAGAAGCTGAATGTATCATCTTCTTCTGAAGACTGGCTAGAAAATGATTAAGAAAAGGATTACCAAATATTGCATAGTGCTGAACACAATGATCATGGTGGAATCTTATATATATGGTGGAATCTTATATATATATATATATTTCTACCTTGGCCCCCACCCGGTGGAACATGGAAATCAGGGCTCTGTGGGATCTTATTCGATTCACACAGGGCCTGCAAGACGGAGCTGTTCTGCCAGACTTTTGGCTGAGGCAGTGGGCGTCCACTCATGGCCCCCCGAGGTTGCTGTCTCCCACCTACTGATAACCAGTCATACCCACCAACATCAATGTACCGGACTCTCCCTACGGCAAGCTACGACTACTGATTTTACATGCTTATAATGTGTTTTTAAGATTTTATTGAATTTATGGAACTGTTGTAACCCACCTTGAGCCCATTTACAGGATGGGCGGGATATAAATGCAAAAAATAAACAAACAAATAAAATAATTCTCCTAATGTGTTGGTCATTTCCAGATCTCCTATTGGCTGTGCTGTGTGCTCCATCAGCCATTGGCCCATCAACTGCCACTCAAGAGTAATCATGTGCCATTGGCTGGATGTTGGATTTGCTCGTCTTCCCCACCCACTGCCATGTCAGCCACTATTTGCAGTCAGAATAACTGCCAAAACAACTGTCTCTCCTGATGAAGGCACTTCTCCTGCTTGGCTCCTGTGGGACTAACGTTTCTCTCAGTGGCTGTTGCTAGGCAACCAAGTTTGGTTCTTTCAGTAAAAAGGCAAAGGCAGGAAGCCCTTTCCAGGCCTTTGTGGGGAACTCACTGGGGCCAGTCCTTGACTAGAGTTGCCAGCTCCAAGTTGGGAAATTCCTGGAGATTTTGTGGTAGAGTCTATGGAAGCCAGGGTTTGGGGAGGGGAGAGGCCTCAACTGAATAGAATGCCATAGAGTTCACCCTCCAAAGCAGTTATTTTCTCCAGGGGGAGAGATCTGTTGTCTGGAGTTGTGATACCAGGTGATACTACAGCCAGTGTGGTGTAGCAGTTAGTGCTTCAGAGCAGAATCTGCTAGACCCAGGTTCTTGCTGTGGAAGCCGAGTGGGTGATTATGGACCAGTCACAGACATTCAGCCTAAACTACCTCACAGGGTTGTTTTGCAGTTCAAAAGGGGGAGATGAGAATGATGTAAGAAGCTTTGGTTCCCACTGCGGAGAAAGACTGTACTTTTCCTCCTGGGGAACCACTGTTGCCAATCTCCAGGTGAGGTCTGGAGATCACTCAGGATTACAACTGCCCTCCAGATGGCAGAGATCAGTTCCCCTGGAGAAAATAGTGGACTCCGTGTCCTTATACCCTCCTGAGATGGTCCTCCTATGACCGCCAGTGTGATGTAGCAGTCAAGGCTACAGAGCAGGGTAGAGGCTGCAGGTGAGGGGGGGGGAGATAAAAAGCTGATGTCAGATAAAGGTAGGTTGATGATTGGCTGGGAAGGAGATAGGGTTGCCAACTCCAGTTTGGGAAATTCCTGGATATTTGAGGCATGCAGTCTGGAGCGGATGAGGTTTGAGGAGGGGTGGGACCTCAGATAGGTACAATGCCATAGACTCCACCCTCCAAACCAGCCATTTCCTCCTGGGGAACTATTGTTGCCAATCTCCAGGTGAGAGCTGACAATCACTCAGAATTACAACTGCTCTCCAGAAGGGAGGGCAGAGGAGATGGAAAGCTGAAGTGAGGGGGCAGATAATGGTAGGTTGATGGTTGACTGGGAAGGAGATAGGGTTGTATTTTGAATCTTTTGAATATGAAATTTGAATTTAGAATGTGATATTTTAAGTATGAAATATAAGCCATGAATGTTACATCTTTGGTTGGATCCTTTTTTGCTCAGTTTCAGTATCAGTCCCTGTCCTACATAACTTTTGTAGATTTAAAGTAACCCTCTGGTCCAGGATCTCCCTGGCTAGTCTATCAGTTGCTGACACGGCTAGATGAAAGGAGTACTTATGTCTCACAGGCCATATAACTCATCAGTTAGCACACCCAACATCTTTGAGGTATTCTAACCATTGCTATCTCTATGGCATATGGTTGCCTGCCTTCTCCGGCAAACATTGCTATCCAGAAATTTGCCCCAAGTCCACTTGCCTTTACTGGAGCATTTTCAGACATGGTAGCCCTCCTCTGACTCATTGGGGAGGTACACCTATTCAACAGTGATGGTTCACTCACCTCTATATTATAGGCATCAAGAACATAACCTCTATCTTCTATACAGCTGCACTTCTCACCTACAAGAGGTGAGAACCCCCCCCCCTCAGCAATTTCCCTTGTAAACTGCATCCTCCTTATGGAAAGGTACCATTGAAATCTTCTTGACAAATGGCTAGATGAGTGATTATTGCATGGGCCTAGTTGGCTTCTACTGAATACTTTCTTCCTGCCATGAGCATACATCACCAAAGAACATTAAGAAACTCTTCTGATATTTAAAATAAGTTTATGGAATATTGGGCTATGTTCAGAATGCTCTGGAATGATAAGACTATAGAGGGAATTTCTGCTTTTCTTTTCTATGAGCTACTCTGAACAATCTCTGTGTCGTTTGGTATTTATATTGTGAGAAATTACAGAATTATTGTTATTAAAAATCATTGTTTACTTATTAATTAGCAAGAACAGTTATAAGATTGTTTTGCTGTTTATAGTGATAGGACCACGTTAATAATTTTTGGAATCAAGATGTATTGTTTAAATTATAACAATTTTGTGAGGTAAAACTTTATTTGTACACTGCTTGTCTCACTGAATTATGTATCAATGTATTCTTTATCGCCCATCTGTATTGCTGAATCAATGCAATGTATTACTCGGTACAGTTCAAAGTTTATTTTGATATGAGATTAGTAATAATAAGGATAAGGATGAAAATAATAAAAGAAAATAAAAATCCTATATATATATAAAAGCCCAGCGTATTGGCACTTCCTGGCTCTCCCATTGGCTGTGCTGTGCACTCTATCAGCCATTGGCCCATCAACTGCCACTCAAGAGTACTTGTATGCCATTAGCTGGGTGCTGGGTCCACTCCTCTCTCCTGCCCACTGCCAGCTTGGACACTCTTT